GCCCATATTGAAGACCTTTAGATCATTGGACAGTTTGACTGTCCTTGTGTACAGATCATATAGGTTTCTGAGATATTTTTCGGAATCGTTTTTGTCAGCTAACTTGGCCACCGCATATTTTTGAAGGCGCAGATGGTATATGTTTAAAACAAACTTAGCCATCACTTGTTCAGGATTAGAGAACACCTGTTGCATAAGCTTGTGATACTTTGTACACATAGGTATAACGTCTTGAAAGACGTCTTTCCCACCAAAAGAACCCATTTGACTTTGTTCTATGAACGCGTCAATGCACTGTGAGTAGCCCTTGAAATGTGCCAAGGTACTTGCCAATTCTCTCATATGCGGCGCATCTTCCCTGTTGTGCGCTCTTACAAATTCCTCGATTAGATTACGTTCTATCTCATCATACTTGACACCAATTTTTTTCTTGGCATGTTCAAATTTCTCAGAGGGAAGTTCTTGGGCTATGAGATGGAGCTTCTGTATCACATCTGCAGCATCGTTTAACTGTAACAAATAACAATTAACTGTAACAATGAATAAACTTTGATCTCGCTATTATTTTTATATTATTTGCTATGTTATTTAAAGGGGTATTCTGGTTTAAAAGGTAAAAAAGGTATTTTTCAGGAAATTTTTTTGTAGGGAAACAAAACAAGCGAATAACGTAAACTGTTCTTTTAGCTTTATTTTAAGAATATACTTTTATTTTTTAAGTAACAAAAATTTTTTTTGTTATATCCCGGTCACTAGGAGGTATAAATGATGGATAGTGTAAATAATTCTAGTTGTGTTAGATATCTGAAATGCAAAAACCAAAAATGTTCTTATTTGAAAAAAATGTGGCTATTGTTTGAACCAGAATAAACATTATACGTTTATTAGGTTTTTTTTCTTTTAATAAAATACTAACAAATTTTAAAGAAAAATTATATTTTTAATATGGAGACCGCCATTTTGTCTAGAATGGTAATATGGTCTAGTTTTAGTTCAGAAGATAGCTACACTTCTCCCGAATAAGAAAATTTTTGGTCTTTGCGTTTCAGATACCTAGGGCCGGTATCACAGTCTCCGATTAACGTGATCCTCCGATTAAACTCACTCTGCATCTCTTTCTAACCGTCCCCCTAGAAAGAGACGAAGAGTGAGTTTAATCGGAGAATCACGTTAATCGGAGACTGTGATACCGGCCCCTTATAGAACAGCTAAAATTATTTACACTGTCCATTATTTATATGTCCTAATGACCAGGATATAATATAGAAAAAAAAGCATTTTTGTTACTTAAAAAATAAAATATTCTTAAAATAAGGCTAAAAAAACATGCAAAGTTTAGCATCATTTGTTTTCCTACAAAAAATTCTTGAAAAATATGTTTTTTAGTCTTGGTCTACAATAAGTGCTTTAAGCTCTAAGCCGTAAGAAAGGCCAGTCAGAATTGACCAATCACAGTGGAATGTGAGGAAAATACTTGACTGTGATTGGTCAATTTCTTACGGCTTAGAGTTTAAATACCCTTAAAGTAAAGTTGTAGACCAGCATTTACGACCTTTTAAATCAGAATACCCCTTTAATTGAATTATCTGGGTTATCTTTACCGACGACTTATCTGTAAAAATTGGATCCGTCAATGGACCAGGACTTAAAAATTCTGAGAAGTGTCTCATCAATTTTTGAGCCTCAACCGCTCTTGCCCTTGGTGTATTGACACTTTCTAACTGATCCCCCAGATGTAAAACTTTAGTCGCCACGAGATTTATTCTTTCATCTAACTGATGAAACAAATCGATAGAATGTCTATTCCTCTCCTGTAATTCTAATATCTCAAATGTATGTCGAGCTTCCTCTTCTTTCAACGTAGCCTCCAACTTGTCACATTTCTTTTGCTGACGTTCCTGTAGTATCTGTAAGTCTTTAATTGCTTGCAAAAACGTTTCATGGACGATGACCGGATCAAAAAACGTCTTTCCTCCATCTTTCGTGTTGTCATTGACAGTTCTCCAAGCTAATCTTTCGACAAATTCTTCAGGGTCAAATGGATCCTGAAACAGTTGTAATCTATTCATAAATGGTTTGTCACAAATGGCTTAACGCAATATCACACATAGAAATTTATAAATTATACAGTATAAAATTAAATTTATTGAAACAACTTTCTTGTTCTTGTAAATACTACTGATCGAAAGTAGTAGTAGTAGTAACAATCGAAATGACCAGTATACTAAAGTATTGATTACACGATAAAATCGTGTAAATCGCTTGATGAAAAGAGAAAAAGATCGATTGAAACCTGCTCCAATTCCTTCATGTATTGCTGCATCATTTTGAAATTGTTCACGCTTGCAGAACAGCATGAAAGTAAAATTTAGGTTAGGTTAAGTCATAACACTCGATCAGTCCAGAAACTGGAGTCTCGAGAACGAGACGAACATTGCCGTTTGTTCGTTCCGAGTCTACATGCGCATTTTTAATTTGTCGATTCGGTCTCACAATTGCAAGAAACGTGATATGCACGATTTGATATCACCGTGCTCTATGCTCAACGATACGCACGAGAATGATTCTTTACTATTCTTTAGTAGGCGAACTCGGCTGCCAGATGTCAGCGTGACGATATTCCACAATTTTCTAAAGGGCGGTATTCATATATAGGCCGATTTTATATTTAAGATTATCCATTATCTTAAGTACGATCTCGATATGCTATACTTATAATAATTATAAGTATAATTTTATCACCCGGATGGAATCTCGAGCCATAGATCAACTGATGATCTTAAATATGAGTACCGCATTATACGATTGACTCATCATTCGTCAGGTAGGATCAGAAATGAACACGTGGAAGAATGACGTTACACGCTTAGGCGCATACATGCAATCGTGCGTGCACGATACGCACATCTCGAAACAAACGACTCCGACATCGCAGAATTCAAAGAATGCGATTTCCATTTAGATAGCTGTTTATTCATTCGTACTTCATATAATTACAGTTACTATATCTCTATAAATTTTTCGAATGCCACATTATATCGTATACCCGTCACAAATAGCCCTCTCACGATACAAAGCTACGCGATTTGGATTACATGTAACTGTAATATCTCTTAAATTGTATAAAATATCCCCGCTTTTCCGCACGATCAGAGCTAGTCTGTAGGACTTGTTTTGTGGATTCTCGGATCGCATTTGAATCGTGTAAAAAAAAGCATGATGAGGATCAACGATAAAATTCAAGAGAACACAAACGAAGATTCCGCACTCTGCCGTTTGGCTTGGGTGTACGCGAGCAGCACATTTCTTAGATACATTATACATATATATGTATACATACACACGTACATGTATAAAAGTACGCCACATATGCGCTGCAAGTTATATATAGCATTGAAATATTTATTATTATTAAATTACACTATATATATTTATATAACGAGCAGTGAGAAAGAAAGGAAAGGGTGGAGCGTTGCTTATGGAATCTTACTAGGAAAAAAAACTTAACCCTCTGCACATCTAGAAGAAAACAGAGAACGAAACGAAAACCATGAGAAAACATTCTGGATTATTGTATAGAGGAATAGAAACGGCTGTAGAGCCAAACACATATTCTATTGTACATATTACAATTAGGCTAAAAAAGAAAATTATAAGTGTTTATCGTAATAACCACCATACGCAGTATTAATTAAATTTACTTCTCAAGACACGATTGCCCCTCCCTCCCCATTACACGCACACCTACACTCGCTCGACATTATCAATACTAATTCGACAAATTGATCTAAAGTCGAACTTTATACTAGAAAATGGCGTTGATTAACACGTCTTTTCTTCTTTGGAAAGAAAGGTAGTTACAAAAACGAAATTTTGGGGCAGGTGGACAAGAGTTTCGTACAACTCCGAGGAAGAGTTGGTGGTCCATGAGTGTGTTAAATTCTTTTTTCTCTTCTTTTTTTTTTCTTGTTGGGGTAAACTAAACTTCCATGTATGTTCTTATACTTGCAGTAATAAGTTTAATTTTGCAGTACCCAGACCGCAACCACGTTAGATGTTCTGCAAAAGAAATTGTCATTATCTCCCATAAGTTAACAATTCGAGCTTAAATCTACTAGGCTTACTTTTGTTTCGCTTACTTTGGTTAAACGAGACGCAAGATTATATTCTCAGCAGCATCCGGATTTAGAAGATTCGATTGGACGCCCGTGTTCTATCTTCACCTTGTTGGCTGGATCGCTCGCTCCGCTCGATGGTGGGCCCACTCTAAGTTTTATTTCAGCGGCCATTGTCATAAAAGCTTGCTCTACGTTCATCGCATTTTTTGCCGACGTTTCCAAAAATGGTATGCCGAGTTGATCGGCATATTCCTGTTTATAACGAAGTACAGCTATGCAATGAGGATTGTAATAAATTTAAATAAATTATACAATATCGTAAAAAGTGTGTGTGCAACTGTATACCTTGGCTGTTGTATAATCTACCACTTTCTTAGTATGTAGATCACATTTATTGCCGACTAACAGCTTATTGACGTTATCACAGGCATAACGATCGATTTCTTCCAACCACTGTTTTACATTGTTAAAAGTCTCCTGATCCGTGCAGTCGTAAACAACAATAATACCGTGTGCACCTCGATAGTAAGAACTCGTAATTGTTCTGAACCGTTCTTGACCTGCTGTATCCCAAATTTGTAATTTTATCGTTTTCCCATCTAGATCAATAGTTCGAATCTTAAAATCCACGCCAATGGTACTGATATAACTTTCCGTATATGTGTCATCGGCGAAGCGCAACAAGAGACAGGATTTTCCAACGCCAGAATCTCCGATTAGAAGCAGTTTAAACAGATAATCACTGAAACAAAAAAATTTTCTAGCAATTATCTCTCAAATTTGTATTCTTACAAACAAAAAAAAAGATGATTTACTGTCTCTACTTTATAGAGTTTTAAAATCACAGTTAATATATATGCGTTTTTAAATCAGAGAAACCATTTTGTAGATGCTTTTAAAATTACAGAAAAAGCATCTAGATTTAACCATTTAAGCAGGGAGCATAAGAAAATTGATTGGTCTGTTTCCTTATGCACATGTGTATGGACCAATCAATTTTCTTATGCTTACGCATTATGCGTTGTGCAGAAGTGTGTGTCCGGGCCCTTTATTCGTGTTTGCTTGTGGCTATTACAAAAAAAAGCCAAGGTTGCAATATCACAAAACGAAAATGTAACAAAGTGAAAATGTAACAGTACAAAATACTGAAATACGGACTGTGATACGAGAGTGCCATGTTTCGAGTAGTAGGGGAAAGAGAACAAGAGGGAAGGGTAAATCTGTCAGATGACGAAAATCAACGAACACTTCTTTCTTAATCCCTCGTCTAGGGAACAGAGATCTCACGGGTGCGATCTCTAACGAGGCTGTTTTTTTTTTATCACGAATACATCCGTGAATCATCGCTTGACAAGCCGTGTGTAGTAGCAAATTCGTTACACTTATGCTCTGCGCAGAAGGAAGTTTACTTACTACTCGGGATTCATCGTGGACATGCTACGCTGAGAATGTGTTGGCTGATAGATCCGTCTGTGGTCCACGCTTGCAAGTTACACCCAGAAAACAGTTCCTCGGCCTCGACACGCGCTACGGTGAATGCGGATAAACTGGATTCTCACTACGTTCCGTAATATGACGAACAATTGTAACAATGGCGGTCACAGCAACTCCTCCCAGTGAAGACCTCCACCATTGACGTAATACGTAATGCCAGAATGGCAGCGGGTACCGTTTCCATAGACATAGAATGCATAACGTAAGAAGACAGAGGATCGATTCTCGAATTCATTCGCAAGATACGTATGCGCAATGTTGTTCTTACTGAAAAGTTGCAAGTCGATTGGCTATCGCATAGCTTTTAAGGTGATCTTAAAGCCGTGATCCTAACCGGTTTTTTTTCAATTTTTTTCTTAGCACTAATCTTTTAATTTATAATAAATAAAATACGGACTCGCAGCTAAGCAACAAAATTCTTGTCTAAAATTAAAGTACGCATCAAAATCTAGGTCATGGGCCGGTATTCATAATCAGATCTTATTTCAAGACCGTCTTAAGTAATATCTTAAAATGCTAATACGGCTCTGTGATTGGTTAATAACATCTTAAGATCTTAACATCTTAAATATAAGAACAGACTATGAATACTAGAGTTCCTATAATAAGAGTTAAGCCAATGTGGTGACGATTTTTGATTGGTCCCGTCATATGTTTCAGCCAAGTTAGTAAGAGTGAGACAAGCTGTAAGTGGGAGTGAGACAAAGCTATCATGGTCGCCATATGTTTCAGCCAAGAAGTTAGTGGGAGTGAGACAAAGCTATCATTTGGCTGTACATACATACATGGCGGCGGTTTGTCCTAACTCTTATTATAGGAACTCTAATGAATACCGGCCATGGTAATCGAATTTATATGTGGTGGTCGTCACGTATAACAAAAAATACTAATTTTTTTTCGTTTTTGATATAAATTCGACCACCATGACCTAGATTTTGATGCGTACTTTAATTCTAGACAAGAATTTTGCATTTCTATAAAGCCAATTAAAAGATTAGTGCTAAGAAAAAAACTGAAAAAACCGGCTAAGATCACGGCTTTAGGATCACCTTAACCAATCAACTTGCAACGTTTCTGTAAAGTGTAAAGCCTTGTGTACACTATACCGACGTATATTTAGTAAATAAATTAAAAATTATTGAAAATTAACTAACCCAATCGTTTGGAAATCATTTGGAGATATTTGGAAAAAACTTTTCAGAGTTTGGAAAACCATACAATAATCGCAATTAATTAAAATCAATTAAGCGTATAATTAGCAGAAATTTTCTAAAAAATATTTTTTTTAATCCAATCGCTCCAGAATCATTTGGATAAATAAGTGTCGATATAATTTTTATTATTTAAAAAACAACTGTATTCTAATAAAAATTAATTAAAAGTCAATATTTCGTTTTAATGTCTGCACTATAGTGCAATAATTAGAATAAACAGATAAACAGACATTGTAGGTTAGGTTGCTGATTTCTTGCCAGTCTTGCTACTCGTCGTCAGGAGAAGTATGTGCACTTTATTGCACTATAGTGCAGACATTAAAACGAAATATTGACCTTTAATTAATTTTTATTAGAATACAGTTGTTTTCTAAATAATAAAAATTATATCGACACTTTATCCAAATGATTCTGGAGCGATATTGGATTAAAAAAAAATATTTTTTAAAAACTTTCTGCTAATTATACGCTTAATTGATTTTAATTAATTGTGATTATTGTATGGTTTTCCAAACTCTGAAAAGTTTTTTTCAAATATCTCCAAATGATTTCTAAACGATTGGGTTAGTTAATTTTCAATAATTTTTAATTTATTTGCTAAATATACGTCGGTTAGGCCCTGAGTTTAATCGGAGGATCACGTTAAGGGTCGACAGGAGTAACACCACCGACCTCTGTCGGGTTGCTTAGCTGCGAGTCCGTATTTTATTTATTATAAATTTTTTAAGAGCCAAAATGGAAAACCGGCTCTGTACCAGCTTGCGGCTGATATTACTGATTAAAACGAGCACAAGTTTAATGAAATTCGTTAATTAATTTGGCTAAAATTTGGGAAAAGCCGTTCCTAAGC